TGGTTCTTGAGAAACTTCGAAAAAAGCAGCGTCACGTTCAAGTGGATTTTGCAACTCAAAAAAAACCACGCAAATCTAAAACTTCTTGAATTCAATCATTTTTTGAGAAAACTGCCAACATTTCCTTAGCGTTCTTGCTCATTTTGCTCCCGAAAAACATGCAAAACGGGACGGAAAACATGAAATTTTGCAATAATCTTGCGCCACCCTTGCACAAGACTGTATTTTTTCTACATAACCCCCCCTCCCCTGAATTTAAAGCTGGATCCGCCCCTGGTCAAGAGAACTGTTAATAAACCAGCGAAAATAGGAAGAAAACTGACGAAAAAAGCTCCATAAATGATTATCTGGTTCCAATTTCACATTCAAGTTATCTTGCTTGATTTTGAGCGAAGCCGATACAAAACGGCTCTTGCTGAGTTTGAACCATAGATCAAAAGCAATTTGCCATCTATATTTCAACGGCAGCTTTATCTCGCTTGAAAGCGCGAGTCTTTGCTCCTTATGGTTTAGTTATAGAAGTTGCAAATATTTATTTTAGTAGCTGGGCTTAAGCTGGAGAAACTGTAAACTTTGAATGGGGGGCCTTTGTGCACTCGTTTCAAACAAGAAAACTTCTCGGCAGGATTCTTTCCTTTCCTAAATCGCATAAATTCCATCACCGTTCGCTGGATTAGCGGCCAAAGTTCAGTTTAGTTAGTAGCTAGTAATGAAAAGTTTATAGAATTCGCCTAGTTTTAATGGTGCAAACGTGACTTCGGCAATAGTTTTCTTGGCTGAACACCATAATGCATGTACTGGCGGTCAATGAAGTTAAAAATACACTAGGGGGACCTGAGGAGAAATGCACATTGTTTGAAAGTTTACAGCCACATTTTTTTCGGCTGAAAATAGCCCTCATTCAAATCAATCAACCACCGGATTTAGCAGGCAATTGCAGCCAAACATCGCTGCAAATTTGCCTTCAGATGCGTTTTAAGCTGTATTTGGATTGGCCAGATCATTTCCTTCGGTTAATTCGTCATTTTGATGGATGTGGACCACATGAAGTCGGGGCAAATTAATTTGATTCATAAAACGTGGAAAACGTGAATGAACGAACCTGACTAGCGACGTTTCCAGATTTAAATTAGGAATCCAACACGACGGCCAACACGTTCATTAGTTTTGATTACTTATTTTTCCGCTAAACAAGCAAGTTAATTAAGCGGCGAGATAGTTGCATTTTCTATCATAATTTCACTCAAAACGAGTCTGTAACTTGTAACAGTGTTGTTCTTGGTAACGCGACACCCTAAAAGTGATAGGCTTCGACTGGAGGCTCAAAATAACAAAACGCTGGCTAAAGAAAGAAGCATAACACACTTTTTTGCTCCGAATACTAATTAACGTTCGAGATTTGGAAAATAAAACCCACATGTTCATTTACCGGGGGCTTCAGTTTGTAACAATTCCGTTCGGAACATCTGACGAGAAATTTGATATATTTCCAAACATAGAAGGGGATGCGAATATATTCGTTAATAACCGATAATCTCCCTTCGAAGCAAACAAATTAATTTTTATGCCTTTTACAGGATGCACCCACACATACAAATCTGAACGTGCGTACGAATCCTCAACTTACAAAAAGGAAGTTGAAATGGCTTTTCAAGTCACGTTCATTTGAATTTTCGACATTCGTTGACCGTGCTGCCCGAAGAGCAAGAAAACAATGGATCTTGGTGAGTACTACGCTTCAATCAGTCTCGGATTAACCACCGCTAGTGTTAGTGACCATTTTTTGGGGGAATTTTTGCACAAAACACTATCGGAAACTCCATTTCAGTGTCTTTCATTTTGCTCTTGAATGTTTTTCAATACACCGATAGCTGCTGAAGTTGCAGGCCAAAAAACTCTCCCCGTTAAAGACAATCAGCTGCACCTCAGTCAACCAAAGTTCAGTGTTTCGTAACTGGAACATTTTCAACAGTAACTAAATCACTTTCCAATTTCGCTATCGCTGTTAAAGTTGGGAGCAAGAGAAATATGTCCTCACTAAAAACATCCAACTGCACTTTAGTCAATTTCGTTGTTTCTTAACGCGAAAGTTTTCCCAAGTAGCCTCAAACTAGAACAACTTTTAGAAACTCTATTTCAATGTCTTTCATTTTGCTTTTGACAACTTTTCAATATAGAGGTCGCCGTTGAAGATAACTGTTCAGCTGAACTTCTCCGTTCTCTAACTGGGCCATTTTCTCAAATAGGAGACAACTAAAAACACTTTTGGAAACTTTATTTCATGATATGCTGCTGCGTTCTATTCTCTATAAAGCCATTTTAGACTTAAACTCTCTATATATGCATTTTCACACGTTTCCTATAGTGGAAAGCAAAAACTGGGGAGTTTCTCGTGTTTCAGAACGCATCAGTTTGTATCTCTTTGGACCAACCAGTTAAGTTCGGAGACAATACAAAAACTCTCGACACTTTTATTACCATAATTTTTAATATTAAAATTATTTAAATTTATTAACATCTCAAGTTGGGTCGTTAGAGGCACCACTTGAATGCAAATCGCTCTGTTGTCTTTACTGGTTTTTTTTCTATTAAGCCTTCTTAAATCAGATTTTTTCCTCTCGGTATGTTTAATGCATGTGCAGTCAGGTGATGAAGGTCCGATATAACTTTTTGTAGGTTTAAGTCGTCGATTTTTTTTATCAAGACAGCAAGGGGAATTTACATCTGATCCGTATTCCGCAGGTTTACTTCATTCGTTCAACGATCCAAGAAAGGATGGTTTTTTGAGGAAATCACTGCCGAAGGACGTACAAACATTGAAATAAGTAGCGCAAATCAATTAAATCAATATTAAACTATAAGTTTAAATTTAAAACGGGTTTTGGATGGAGACTAAAAAAAAAAACTGCGGAAAAATCTATTATATCGGATCTGAAACTTGATGTGAAAAGTCATTGGAAAAATGGGAAAAAAAACAATCAAAATTTCACATGCGTATTTTTTTAGCTCAATCGATTCGTTTCGACGTAAGAAGGCCACAAATATGCATTTATAAAATGTTTGGGTCAATAATAAGGAAGAAATCGTCGGCTAAAGATCGTGAACGCTCAGAAAACGCTCAATGAGCAAAAATCGGGATTTGTGCCGATTTGTGTGAAACTTGGATAATCTTGGAAGTCACATGTGAGCTAAAGATAGTGAAAATGTAAATTTTTCGAATTTTATAAAAGAGTGAGCGCAGTTGGGTATAAACCTTCAACGTGAGACTAATATTTTATGAGTTGGTAAAAATCAGTGTCTAGAGCGATTTCAATCAGACTTCTCAACTCTTTAGACACAACAATTTTCTACAGATGGTGAAAATCTCAAAGTCCTGGCTGCTGTAGTTTAGAGTTGTGAATTTTTAATGCAAAAAACGCGGTTTATTAAACTGAAAAAATCAGAATTTCCTTAAATTTTTATGAAATTTACCCCATCGTTAACTCACGTCTCGTCTAAAGAGTCCTAACATTTCAAGCATCTACTTGCTTTGGTTCAAACCATTCATCTTAAGTTTGGACAAAAAGGTTTTTAATTTTTTTTGTCATCACTACTTAGACCGAATCCCCAAGAAACTTGTAAATTATTCGTCCATCGGTCAAGAAACCATCCCATTTTTCTCCAGTTTTCAAGTCAATGAAAAATTTACAGTTTTTCAACAATTTTTTAAACGGTTCACCGCTTCATTAGGCCCTATTGAAAATGCACTAAACGATCAGAAACTTGTTTATTTATTTTGTTTATTGCAATCTGTTCATCCGACCATAAATTTGGCTTGTCCAGGTAATTTATCGCTTTTCTCACTGACAATCTATTGGCAAATTAATATTTATGATCGGAAATTCGATGTGCATACAAATCTCGATTCGTCCAAGACAATACTGGGAAAAAATCGGCAATGCCCGATTAAATGCTAATTTAGTCGATTGGAATTTGATACCGAAACTGCAATTGCAATGTTGGTTCGGGAAAATTTCCCTTTCGGTCGGCTGCTGTGCTCGTGAAACTGCTGGGCTTTTGAGTCGTCTAGAAAAAGCATTTCATCCTGATGTTTTGAGAGCACGAGTGGCTGACATCTTCAGGCCTGGTTATTGCGCCAAGCAAACCACCCCTGAGGATGCAAGCCATTCAAGCTTAGTTTTCTCAGGTTTTACTGAAATTTCAAAAGTCTCCCTTGAAGATCCTTTGGGAAATTATTTAATTTAAAGCTAGTTCCAGCATGCAAAATCCAAAACAATTGACTATATATAAACGAAAGACATCCGACACTGTTTAATAAGCGGATTGCATCTCAGCACTCCAGCCGTGAGAAACTAGGTCTGCGGAATGTGGGCTAAATAACAGATTTGAATTGACCTCAGAAGGATTTTTGCCATTTTTTTGTGCTTTTTTGGAGCCAAACCGCAAATTTCCTATTCCATACGTTTACTGAGTTAATTTGGATCCGGTTTAACTTCAGGGGGAAATAATCAGCTCCAAACATTTCTAGACACTTCGAGGCGTGTTTGCTTATGAAAGAACACATCTAAAATAACATTTCAGGCCTGAAGCTACTGATAACACATGTGGAAGCCTTTCGAGCTAGAAACTAAAAGTGCCCTTTTGAATAGTAGCGTCTAAAGCGTGTAGTTATTCCGCAGATTTTTGTATAAAAATCTAGTTTCCTTCATTTTCCCAACTTCTTTGGCTGACTGTTTCAACTGCTAAACCAAGCACTTGACGGTTTATGTGGAAAAAATGGAAATTCCTGAAAAGGCCACTTGATCGATCTTAAAATTCCAACCGCCTCCCCATTCATCCTGTCGGAATCCTTAGCAGATAGTACCAATTCATCAGTACAAGGGTACCGGCTTTACCCCCGCTACTTCTTCAGGCCAGCCCATTAAAGACACGTTTAGCCTTCCTAAGGAAAATTAGTATTCAGAGTGTTAAGTTTTGGATATCGGTATGTACGGTGATGAGCTAAGAGAATAGTTTCCCAAAAAAGACTAGTAGTACCATTCCGGCGGTAAAGTGCGTGGTTTTTCAGCTGGTTTATTGGTGTGAAATTTCGCGATGTTTTGGAGCGGAGTGATTGGTTGGTTTGGCTAATTGTGGGCGATTTAATTAGAGTGTGCTTATTTTCGAAACTTGTTGTTGCAGACAACCCGAGCTACTTCGCCGTGCCGACAGATGAACCCGATTGCAGTGCGGCTCAAATTCGGCAGAAAAAGCGATCCGAAAACTCGGAAACTGTCCTCAATCGCCAACTCACGCCGCCCAAATACAACGGCAATCGCAGGGAAATTCGAGCACTTTTGCGGTAAATTCCCGAAAACTCCTCATTGCCTTTAGTTGCACTCACAAATCTTCGCAGATCTGTGAGCTCGAACTCGGCAGACTCCAATCATGAGCTCCTGATCATGGGAGAACCGCGTCTTAGTGACATGGCGCCTAGTTTGGCCTACAAACACCCAAGTCGCTCGAATTCGCTGAAGAAAGCCCAAGAAAACCCAAGATGCATCCCGATGTCCGAAGAAGACGAAGGCTCCGATGGGCTTCTGGAGGAAGACGAAGTCTTCCTAGCTGACGATGGAGCCAGATATTCAAACTGCAGTGCCGTCAAACGAGTGAACGGCAGCAGCAGTTTAAAAAGTAAGCAAATCTCCTGCGGAGCTTCAGATTCACTTAAAGCCGACTTTGCAGGATCGGGCAGCCCAAGACGGCATTCGATCAGCAGCTTCAATGCCAGGGACCGGGCCAGTAGTGTTGCTTCGTCGTCCCGCAGCTTCAAGGGCGACTTTTCAGCTACAATGCAGGAAAGCGTCTCAGCTACTTCAAAGGTGGATGAACATTCCCTCAGGCACATGGCCTATCCTAGAAAGACATGTTTAATGTGCACTAGAGGTAAGTGGCTTTTTATTCAACACACATATTGCAGAAATGCCCCTTCTGGATGCAAATTTTCATCAATTCATCCCAAGGGTGCACAAATATGGTCATTTTAAGCAACACTGATGTAAAATTATTCGGCTTTGATGGAAACTTGATGGAAACGCTACTGTTCGCAAATTTCTTATGCCCGTATTAAACTGCGCACTTTCCGCGATTTATTGGCCAATAAAATGGGCCAATTATTGCAGGTCATTTTTTGGCAATCGACTTAATGATAACGCTAAAAAGTGTCTCATATCTGGCGACCTTCAATAATTGGGCCAAAAAATCCTGGGAAGTGTCTAAATTCTGCGAGTTTTGGCAACGTGTGTATCAACTTTCCGCAGCTAATCAACAGCGAAATTAGATAATCTCATTGAAGATGTCGGCAATCATCAAATAAGTCAACATTCAATTAGTTTATGCTTGTGCATGGTTGCAACAATAAAGGGGGCAAAGTTGCTGTTGAACTTTGATTTCGTAATTGAGACAACGAGCGGTAATACGGCAATAAAATGATTGTGGAAAATTGGAGGTCGTCGTTTCTGCTTCAAATTCAATCGCCCATGATGAGCATCTTCAATGGGCAAACATCCAATTAACTAAGATTAAAGTAAATCGTATAAAAAACAAAAAAATCATGACCCAAGTGCTTTTGAATTGCATTACTTCACATGCTATTAAAATGGTATTTTATCTCCCAATTAGTTACGGTTTATAGGTCGAAACGGTTTAAATGTTTTGAGAAAATCGTGCTCAAAAGTGAGTTCACTGGACATCAATGAAGATCAATGAAACCATTTGGAGCCAACTGAAGAAAACGTTACTTCCGCAAAATCAAAATACACGTTCAGCTCGACAGAAACGTGACCATACATGTGGACAACAGGTGAATAGACTGTCCATAAAAAGTCAATAACTGTTCCTGTGTGCGAACCCGACCAATCGGCGTTCGAACAGCTATTTCCGAAAGGAACTACAAACTCCATGCAATCAAACTGGCTTCCGGTAGTTGCTTCAGTTTTATTAATTTCAATAACCGCTAATTCGCTATTCAATTATATAATTGGCACATAAAGGTTCTTGGCGCACGTGACCATCATACAGAGAACAATTGTTCTAATAATGCCTTACTTTAGCTACGCACTTTTGCCCGATTTATTGGGCCAATTTCTGAAAGTAAGCAGATATGAGGGAAAGCCTGCAATCGCGCTGCTACTGACCAATCGTACGATTTATTGCGCTCTTAGAGCATCTGGGAAATTAATTTGATGGCAATTTTTGAAGTTAATCGTTGTCTCCGACCAGGATTTTCCAAGTAAAACGACAATGAATAAGCAAATCGAAATCGGATTTATGTTACAATTTAATGTGGACCTTCAATAAGTTGCCCACTTTATTACCGAATAAATCGGAGAAAAGTGCGTAGTGTAATACCGGCATTAAAGACTTGAAAGTTGAATAATCGACTCAAATATAAACAGTGTTGACTAATTGCTGAATTATTCCGATTTAATTAAACATCTTTTGGGAAGTACACAATAGTGGGCTGATGGCGTGAATTCGAATTGAATAACGTCAATAACTCATAGCGGGTGGACCAACCAAAATGGTTCCAGTTTCTGAGTTTGAGGTTGAAACGTAAGGAAAACAATCTTTTCCCCTTTTTTTTGTCAAAGTTCACCAGTTTCACACTTTGGAAAGGTTGAAAAGTAGTTTCGTTTTATGGTACGTCTATTTTCAACAATTTCTACCCAAATAATGAAAATGTGCAGCAAGAACTGTTGGAACTGCTCGAAATGGAACCGTCTCATATTTTCGAATTTTTCCTACCTCAACCAATTATTATGAAAATGGTAAAAACTACACTTCGTTGACACATTCGCATCTCTAAGAAAGTGGCTAAATATTAATTGAATAATTGTTATTATGATAAGTAAATTTTCAATTAAAATATTGTCAATGGAATTGGACCAGTGCCCTGGCCGCCCATATCGCCAGATCCGAACCACTGGACTTTGTTCTACCCATATGGTTTTTCGATTCTCTATTGTTTCCGCTCTGTAAACTGGACCACTCTGTATATGCATATAATAGTCGATTTTTTAGGATATCCGACGAGTAAAAAGGCGACATTTGAATATAAAAACTCCAATCACGTACTCTACTCCATATGCTGACGCCAAGTCCCCACCATAAGCAACCGGCGATTGTTTTTCTTTTATAATTTTTTGCATTATTATCAAGTACGCGGCGTTTCGTCAGTATAACATTGGGGTGTCCATTGTGTCAATAGGTCTTAAATCTGGCGAGTTTCGCGGAATTTTCGCGCGACCCCGTTGCGATTTGCCATCTGGATTGAGGACACCACAGTAAGTGATCGAATTTGTTTTTCGCTTAGTTTAGGTAGGCCGATGAGTCAGTTAGGCCATGGATTCCAGACTTTTTGAGTCATAAAATTTTAGTGAACATTCCTGGAAAGAATGACGACCACGCGTGTGTGGCATCGACCTAAAATACAACCAGTAGATGGGCAGAAAAGCGAAACATGCACGCGTTATTAAAATAGTTCATTCCGCTCTATGCATGTACACCATATTCAAGCAATTATTTATTTTATTAAATCCAGTCAAAGAAATTGAAATGCAAAACATCCGCTAGCGTGTTTACGGATTTTACACGTGCTATTAGAGTAATCGGAGCTAAGGAAACTGGATATTTCACTCGAATCTCTTTGCCAGTTATTAGGATATTTGGTACTCGCTCGTAAAAATCGGTCGTCAGTTGGTTGGTACAAAAAAAATCCAAAACATCGTCTCGGACATTTTCTTCATCTGTTCTTCACAAACTCGCTAAAACCCATCAGGAAACCTTCAAGTGAGGCAACAAATCAACTCCTACTGGCTCTTAAGTGAAAATATGTGCCCCGAGTAGTAAAGAGGCCGAATTAACAAATTAACATTCTTTAGCAACATTTAGAGCCATTTTGTTTACATTAAATTCAAGTCGTGCATTGTTAAATTCATGTTTTACGAGGGCGTGATGTTATGGGCTTCTGCTGCTAAGATTACAGTAGTCGTTTTAGTTATTGTGACAAATTCCGTTTTACGGCTCCAACTGATGCATTTACGACAACTTAACCAGTTAAGCAACGGAGCTGAAAGATTGATGGGGACTTTTAGGCCAGAACTTGAAGAAAAAATTACACACATCCACATTGATAGCGAATGTTGGCACTGCCAGGATTGTCTTCAATGAAGAAGAATGCATTCAGAGCGCCTCTTCATGGGCTATTTTAATTTGCTGTATCATTAGCCTTAGCGTCTAATTTATTACATGACGTGAAAAATTTAGTAGCATTCTTTAATATCACCGGGAGTCATATTTTACGAAGTGAAGATAAATACAGGTTTAATTGATGTGGTGAGGCTCAAAATAGCCGGGCCCACATTAAAAGAATCGGTGTATTGAAAGCAATGAAAACTCCATTTGCCTCTTACATTCGTCCATAGAGAAACAATATTTATTAATAAGTATTCATGCATGTTTTCTAGTGGATTCTTAGAAATTGCGTTAGATCATGTCGGGGGCTTTGGTGCCAATTTTTCCATTAGTTAGTATTATTAATTAGTCCACTCTGGTTTGATTTTATTTAAAGATTCATGCGTCTTTTTAAACTATCCATGTTTTTGTCATTGATAAATTTGAAAAAAACCAAGAATTCCTATTCATTAAATAAGGTTCAGTTTTCTGGAGAATCATTCAGCGAAAATTTGAATTTGGCGCTTAACTGTTGCCAAGCAACGACAGCGGACATAACCATCCTGACAGAAGCTGACAGCCGGTGCCAAAAACGACTCTTGTCAAATTTGAGATTTCTGAGCGTTTAACGTGCAAATTTATTGAGGATAAATGGAAGCTCTGAAGATGAAAGTCGCTAAGGCTTTTTCTAGACTTCACAGTAAGTAAACTTTACTTAAAATAAAAAATGTAAGGAAGCAATGCTGCCAACAAGGTTACGCTACGTTTTGCTGTTGTCTGGGGCAACAAACTGGCGGCAAATTCAAATTTTTACTATTTTCAAACCGCGCCCTAAAAATGCTTAACCTTGATTTTTAGATTCTGTTTCCATTAGAGTCGAATTTTTGCTCTTCTCTGTCTCAGCTACAAATTTAAAACCCGATCTTTCCTCTATTGATTCAATCCTTTGAAGAATCAAAGGGAGCATTTTACTAAAGCCCCAGCTGACATGGCAGCAAATGAAAACTGAATTCCTTTTAGGCTCATTTCGGCGGCGAAAGGAAAAAATGAAAACATCAACGATGTTTATTTACTCGATGGCGCGTTAGAAAACAAAATCGTACCGATTTTCCAACCACAAAATGTCAAACAACAAAGAAACATTAATGCGTTTGGTTTTTGGGTGGTCTTTTTGGGTGGGTGGTGCGTTTGTCTGCTTTGGGAATCCTTTGTTTTTAACGTTCTTAGTAGTCTGAAAATCCCTTTTTTTAATCTACGTCTAAATCCCGAAATTGTTCCCGGCTCAAATTACTTAGTTTGAATTTTTTTCGTTTGCAGTGTCTGGTTTTACTTACACCGTCTGGTTTTAGTTAAAATCCCTATCTAGCGACAGTAATCTGACATTCTGAGAACGGCATTATAAAAGGTTAATTAAGAGATAACCGCTCATGCTGCTCATCACGACCTTAAAACTTCAAACAGTAGCACGGATTGTTGGAATAAGCTTTGGGAAAGCTTTTAAGTGCCGTCGTATTATCGGCTTGGTCGCTACCAACAATTAAATCCTCGTATTCTAATGAGATAATTTATATTTTTCTTAATCATTAATTACATAAATAACCAAATTGAGGCAATATCCGAATTATCAGCCATTTAGAGCAGATGTGACACAAATCCAGTGTATATTAACCGAGAGTTCAACGTGGAAAAATTGAAAGTAAACATTATATCCG